TTGAGGATTGATTCAGTACTCTCAGCCCATATAATGAACCCTGATTGATTTTTACCCGTTACCATCCTTAAATTAATAAGCATTTCTTATTTTTCATATTCTTCACAGGGTGAAAAAGGCAGTGAGGGGGAACCAGGAATAAGAGTAAGTCGAGTAATGCACCTGCTCCCTCCCCTGTGGCTCCTGGGCGCTCAGCGCTCTGCCCGGAATGACAGGGTGCGCCGTGCGCTCGGGGCCCGCACACCATCAGTCTCTCATCCCCTTGTCCATAGCAGGACAGTATTAGCATGCATTTTTACACTCTGTTTCCAGAAGTCAGTTCTAGAATGTCTTCCTCTTGGTAACGTAAACACTGGCTAATCATCTTCTGAGGTTTGGGAAGGGAGCATGAAGATGGCAGAGGGGCGTGGCTTCCATTCAGGCGCCACCAGGTTCTGCCCTCTGTCCCCTCTGTCACTGCCTGTCCTCAGAGCTTCATGGTCACTTACCACGTGACGTGACATACGCAGTCCTGGATGGGTGACAGCCCAGGAAGGCTGGCGGGTCTCCTAGGACCGTGCCCTGCACTGCGCCTGAGTTGAGCATCGCCAGGCGGTCTGGACACCATCGGGGCTGAGGACACAGAACCCGGGAGCAGAGGATGACACGTGGGCCCTGCCGGCTGGAGGGGCCACCCCTGGGCTGCTCCTTATGCCCCTCTGCTCTCTCCTAGGGCATTTCCTTGAAGGGAGAAGAAGGAATCATGGGCTTTCCTGGACCGAGGGTAAACCACGCCTTTTATAACTGCAGTTGTTGGTTTGGTTTGGTTTTTTTAAGTAGGCTTTCCTTTTTAGAGCTGTTTCAGGTTCACAGCAAAATTTACCAGAAAGTACAGAGACTTCCCATTATTACTCCCCCCCCCACACACACACACACACCCCCACAACAAAAACATCGCGCTCGGGGCGCCACACGCCACAAAACCCCGAAAAACACCGACACACACCCCACGGAGAAGACGCGAGAACACCACAAAAACCCCCCCGCGTGTGCGCGCACAGCACAGAGACTCCAGTAACCAAAAATGTAGAATATCTTAAACACACACTGATTTCCGACGGTCCCAAGAGCCCAACAAAAATGTCCCTAGTTGTAAGGGGCAGGAAGGGGTCCCTGTCCACGGTGTTTCAGCCACCTGAGAGACAGACCTCACCTTCAGAGCCCCAGCCTGGACTGACCCCACTCACTCCACGACCACGCCTAGCTGAGGGCTGGGACAGGTGGGCAGAGCCCTGGGCCCAGGAAGAGAAAGCTGAGTTTTGGTGACTATTTGGCAGTTGCTACCACTCAAAAGACCATATTTTACATTCTCCAAAAATAAGAATAGAGAGACACAGTAGAACATTGGAGTACAAGCCTTTTTGTATTTTTAGTTTTTTATTGTGCTGTCTTGGTGGATTTCTCTGTATTTCTTTAAGTGGTAGAAATGATGCGTGTTCTGAAAGCATTGCTAGAATGATGTATGTCCCTGAGGAAATGGAAGTCTTGGGATGGCTCTGATGCCTTCCGTAGTGAAGCAGCTTTGCGATTAGGATGGATTCTGCTTTCTTTGAGCCTTTTTATCATAGTCATCATTTCCCACCCCCACCCCCCCCAACTTTGTAAAGAGGGAAGAATTGTATTAATAGTTGGTATTGAATTTGGCAATTTGTTCCTATTCTTCAGAGTCTGGACCTGAGGCTTGTTCAGTCTGTCTGTCAGCATTTTGCTGTAGTCACAGCCAGGTGCCGTAGTCAAGCCTCTGGAAATGTTACTGCATATTCTGAGCTGTTTGCTTCTGTTTTTTGTTCACTCCAGGGTTCCCCTGGCTTGAGTGGTGAAAAAGGATCACCAGGACAGAAGGTAAGCTGGGTGCATGAACTGCAGTCTGCTCTGGGCCCACGACATCCCACAGAGGTTAAGTAAGTAGGCCTTGGCAGCTCAGGAAAGAAAATTCATCTCTAGAAAAAACATCGAAAACGGTTCTTGTATTTGCAGTCACACAGATAATCCTGCCTCCCAGGTCATTCACAATACTTGAGCTGGGTCATTACCTTGGCTCTCATTTTTGCAAACTGTCTTTTGGTTCCTCCCCTTCAAAGCGTCCGTCACTCAACCGCACCAGCCGTGGCTTCTGTATCGTCCAGCCCCACACCCCTCCTCCGTGTCCTTGTCGCTCGTAGGAAGGTCCTGGACTTAGTAACCCAGGGTCCACCTCAATGTTTTTATAGATCGACCCATACTCTGACACTTCATTTACGTTTAATGACAACCCAATTATTTTTATCATGAGTTCTGTGAACAGATTTTCGGCTTTTTTTTTTTAGGAGAAAAATGTTAGGTAAGAAATGTATTATGGACCAGGAGCAGTGGCTCATGCCTGTAATTCCAGCACTTTGGGAGGCCCAAGGAGGGTGGATCACCTGAGGTCAGGAGTTTGAGACCAGCCTGACCAACATGGTGAAATCCTGTCTCTACTAAAAATACAAAATTTGCCAGGAGTGGTGTGGGCACCTGGAATCCCAGCTACTCAGCAGGCTAAGGCAGGAGAATCACTTGAACCCAGGAGGCAGAGGCTACGGTGAGCTGAGATCAAGATCGGGCCATTGCACTCCAGCCTGGGCAACAAGAGTGAAACTCCATCTCAAAATAATACTGATGATAAAATTTTAAAAAAGAGATGTATTATGAACCTAGGTTAGTTTTAGAACCGTCTGAACTCTAGGTCATACACGATGTTTTAGTTCAGTGGTTGATGCCTTTTCACTGTTCGCTGTGCCTGCGGGTCCCACCCCACAGCCCACAGCACACGCCTCCCACGGCAGGCCCGGCAGACTGCCCAGGCACCACCACTGACAGCCCCTTGGGTCTCACATGGCACTCATGCCAACATACACACACAGACGTGTAGCTTCACATGCATATAATGGAGCAACAAAAGAAATGACCATGTCTGTGCTACTCTGCCCAGTGCCACTTAGAGAGTGTTCCACATTGGCAAGTACACATCTACCTTGTTCTTTAAAGCTGCAGAGAATGGCAGTCAGTGGATGCGCCATATTTCCTTGCCCCCTCGAGGTGGTTTTCGTATTTCCAGCAAACATGCAGTCACCTCGGTGGTACACAGGGCTTGGTTGCCTGCCCATGGGCTAGTATGTCCATCGCTCAGTCCTAGTAGGTGCATAGAGATAGAGTATTATCAAAATCCCTAACCTCGGAATCACAACTCCATTGAATCCTGCTCAGGGCTGCACGGAGGTAGTGTGGCATCTGGAGGCCCACGGGCTGCAGTTAGCTGGTGCAGAAGCTCGGCAGGCCTGGTGGGGGTTCCGCGTGCTTGTTCCAGGACCGCAGATAGACCTGCCTCCCAGACTCCATTTCTGACTTCCACTGACTCTAGGCATGGTCGTCTTGACCCAGCATTCTGGTTTTGACCATTCAAACTTAACACCGATCTTGCTGACTTCCTGCAACCTCAAATGATCTTTCTGTTCCCATTCCTGTTATTTTATGCTAAATTCAGCCCAGGGAGCCAGTGCCAGGCTTTGCCGTAATCAGGAGTACTCCCAAAGGCAGCACACCTACAGCAAGAGCTATCCAAACCCACCCCACCCCGAGGCCACATTCTAGTTCATGGCTTAGGAAAAGCAAACGTTGTAAAGGGACAGAGGCTAAAGCAGACATTATCGTTCAAAAGTAACCCATTTCCACCTACCCCATGTGATTGAAGTGCTGCTGTTAGTTTCCTGCCATGTGCTAGTAAAATTATAATTATCTTTAGTTTTCCATCTTCAACACAAGGGAGTTGTAGTGTTTAAAAGTACATTTCCAGGTGCCTGTAATCCCAGCAGTTTGGGAGGCCAAGGTGAGTGAATCATAGAGGTCAGGAGTTCAAGACGGACCTGGCCAACATGGTGAAACCCTGTCTGTACTAAAAATATTTTTTTAAAAAAAATTACCTGGCCGGGCGCGGTGGCTCACGCCTGTAATCCCAGCACTTTGGGAGGCCGAGACGGGCGGATCACAAGGTCAGGAGATCAAGACCATCCTGGCTAACACGGTGAAACCCCGTCTCTACTAAAAGTACAAAAAACTAGCCGGGCGAGGTGGCGGGCGTCTGTAGTCCCAGCTACTTGGGAGGTTGAGGCAGGAGAATGGTAAACCCAGGAGGCGGAGCTTGTAGCGAGCCGAGTTCGTGCCACTGCACTCCAGCCTGGGAGAGAGAGTGAGACTCAGTCTCAAAAAAAAAAAAAAAAAAAAAAGGTGCAGTTCCACAGAACTGCTCGGGCCATTGCACTCCAGCCTGGGCGACAGAGCAAAGACTCCGTCTCAAAAAAAAAAAAAAATTACCTGGGTGTGGTGCATGCCTGTAATTCCAGCTACTCGGGAAGCTGAGGCACAAGAATTGCTTGAACCCAGGAGGCAGAGGTTGCAGTGAGCCAAGATCGCACCACTGCACTCCAGCCTGGGAGAGAGAGTGAGACTCAGTCTCAAAAAAAAAAAAAAAAAAAAAAAAGGTGCAGTTCCACAGAACTGCTCCCTGGAACTTCAAAGTTAATGAAAGACAAGATGCTATGCAAACAGTGGCCACCTGGCAGCTCCAGGGCTGGGGCCCAGACATGAGGATGGTGAGGCGTCAGGCTTTCATTTCCCAGCTTCCTTTCTACAGTTGCAACAACTCGGGAAGACGCAGATATTTCCAGTGAAGTGGGTTACGGGGAGGCAGTTTACTCAACTATAGAAATGGGAGACAGGCAGACATACACAAATGACGCAGCCACCCTGCTTATGAGCACCGTTCTGCACCGCAGCTGTGTCCGCCCTCTGTCATCCCACTGGCCAGGTGGCGTCACTCCACGACTTTCAGTTGTCACCACCCGACCCCTCCCCCCAGACACGAGAAGCCCCTCCAAGGAGCAACTGCTCGGTAACGTAAACAGTGCATCAAAATGGGAGGAACCAGAAAAAAAAGAGATATCCTGGGTAGGAACTTGTCCTCCTCTACGTAAACACGGGATTGGTCACCTGTCATCCCTACTGAGATTGTCAGAACTTCTATTAGTTCCAACCTTTTCTAAAAAGGAATGGAGACGTAGCGTTTATGAATTCGGTTATATTCGATTTTCTGAGAAATTAGAGATAGTTTCCCCTCCTTTTTCTGGGGTAAACATATCCTTAGGAACTGAGCAAATGCTGTCCCCAGTGTTATTTTATCATTTTAAAATAACTGCACAGAGTTATTTTTTAAAGTGTTCACTGAGACCTAGTCTCCTTTGAGGAGTACATGCTGCACCGGCACGCGTCATGTTGTGGGAAGCCCCCCTCAATAGGACCGTTGTCCTCTGTGAGGACCGTCCAGGACTCCAGGGACGCTGCGTTTGCACTGGTGGCAGTGCCGATGACTTGGACTCTCACCAGATCCAGCCTCAGTGTTCCTTGTGGCTGTGTGTAGGTTTCCTCTGCAGAGCTTGAAGTGGCAGACGTGACCTCAGATTGAGTTCTTTTATGAAACTCTCACTCTCTTTTGTCTTTTATACTAAATTGCATCTCATTTGCAGGCTGGCAGGGTTTCTTTGCAGAGACCCCTCTTTCAGGAGGCACATGCGTTCTATTTAGCCTAACAGGTGCTCCCTCGGCCACTGAAATGAAAAGGGTACAACAGGCAAATGAAGAACAGAAAGATAACAGGGGCCGGTTCACACCATGAGAGACAGCCGACTGCTTTTAAGCTGTAGAAGCATGCATTTCCCTAAAAAAGTCTAGCCATGCATTCTTTTCATCTGGTTATTCTAGCTAGTCCCTAAGGACTTCTGCCTAAGGATTTTCCTTACTCCAGTTATTTCCACCCTTGAAAAACATAAAATCAACCTTGTATTTCTAAAATTGCATAATCTGAACTTCCCATGAATCATGTATATGAACTCACTGAATTCAAATGAGTGATGTTACTAGATTTGGGGGAGGGCCTGGGAGAAAGGAGTGTGCAGTTTCAAAACCCTTCGTAATTATCCATTCTAAAATAGTGATCTGCATGTCAGTCTCCTGACCTCAGCTTCCCCTAAGGGTGGGCTCTGCGGTGAGCTTGCTAGCAGGAGTACAGGCCTTGCCTGGAAGCAGGGTCTCAGGGAGCCCCCGCTGGCTGCTTCCCAGGGTGGTTGCCAGCCTGACTCTGGGAGCATCTGGGTGATTTCTCCTTGGCCATCCCTGCGCCTCCCTGACCCTGTTGTGTTTGCCACTGAGAAACAGAGAGGAAAAAGTTTTGATCGTCATTTTGACTTAGGGTTCCTGCCTATTTGGGTTTCACTGCCAGTGGTCTCAGATGAACCCTGAGGGTGCATTTTCTCCTTAAGTCATGCATAACCCTCAGCCAACCCCAGTCCGTTGACCTGCTGACCTGCCGCTGGGAATTCCCCTGGAGACTTTTAGCTCATTGCTTTGACTCTTGGGGTTCCAGCTGCCTCAGAGGAATCCTGAGTGCTCCTTAAGTTGTCCCCCTTCTCCAGTGGGTTTTCTATAATGCCCAGTGCATTTCACATGGTTCAGACGTACTTCCAGAGTGCCCATGCTGTCTTGGACGCTTCAGCAGAGATGGTGACACGTGGTGTCTGGGGTGCTTGTTTTGTTTGCTGAGGATGCCACAGCATGGGTGTGTGATGCCTGTGGCCCAGAGTGAAGTCCAGAGTTGACACATTCCAGGGTACCATCTGAGCTGGCCAGTCTGTGGCTGTGCTCACGGCTCCCGCGGAGTGTCCAGCTGCCACCTCCCATCCTGGCAGGTACTAGAGGGTTCCTAGCTTATCTCATGACGTGGCCTCTAAACAGGACCTCATTTTTAAAATCACACAAGTTTGTCTTTACTTTTGAGTCTTCAGCTCCACCTAGTGTGAGACAAAGTCCGGGTCCAAACCACAGTACCACAACAAAACACACACAGAGAAGCCCGTCTCGGTTCAGTCTAAACAACAGGACTTTCAGCGCAGCTACTCCTGAGCGTCAAGATAACCTTGAAAGTAATCACAGAATGGACCTTTCTTCTACCTGTGGCGTCTGGCATTCTGAATTTTGGGAGCTGAACCATGCATATTCTTTAAAAGAGGGAATACATTGCTAGATTTTTAGAGAGCTTTACTCTTCTATCCAGATACCTCATGATACGACTCAATGGTAAACTTTTTCTTTAAAAAAATGTTCAAGGGAATGAGAAAACAAAATTTAGTGTTATAGTTGTTTTTTGTTTTTGTTTTTGAAACAGGGTCTTGCTCTGTTGCCCAGGCTGGAGTGCAGTGGCACCATCACAGCTCACTGCAACCTGACTCCTGGGTTCAAGCGATCCTCCCACCTCAGCCTCCCAAGTAGCTGGGACTGCAGGTGCCTGCCACCATGCCTGGTCACATTGTGTATTTTTTGTAGAGACAGGGTTTCACTGTTTCCCAAGCTGGTCTCAAACTGCTGGGCTCAAGCGATCCTCCCACCTTGGCCTCCCGAAGTGCTGGGATTACAGGCATGAGCCACCACACCCGGCAGAGATCTTTTTTAATGAAGAGAAAAAAACTCTAACTTAAGAGACTTTAATGCATGTATTTTGGTACCAAATGAAAAATTTCAAAATCCCCCCTGTGGGAGGGTTTCAACAGTTGGTTCAGGTTGTCAACACCTGACCCCACTGATCAGTCGTAAAAGCAACCCGGCACTCGTACCTTCTGTAGGAGAAAAGGTGCCCAGCATCCTCTGCAAACGATGCCTGCTGAAAAGGGGAACCTGCACCTAGGGCAGCCTCCAGCCCTAATGACTCGTGTGGAGGAAACATGCGGTTAGAAGAACAGATTCCACGACCCCACGGGGGTGAGACCGACCACAGCCCACCACACAGAATATCCGCAGCACAGTTGACCCAGTGTCTTCAACAGCCACAAAATGATACTAAAAACATAGAAAGGAAGAAGGGACTATTGTGGGTTAAATGAGAATTGAGAGACATAGCAGCCAAGTGTTATATTTGGATTTTTTTTGGCTCCTGGTTCCAGCAGAGCACCTTCAAAAGACACTTTTGGGACCAAAGTCAGGGAAAATTGAACACAGACTGGGTTAATGCATGACTTTAATGAACTGTTGTTAATTTTATGAGATACAATAATGCTATTGCGGTCACTCTTTGGAGTTACACATTAGAGACAAAAATTAAAAGCATACGTCTTTCTTGCAGGGAAGCCGAGGCCTGGATGGCTACCAAGGCCCTGATGGGCCCCGGGGACCCAAGGTGAGCCTGTTTCTCATGCCTTTGCGACTTACGGTGTCTCACCCACCCTGGCTGGCCTTACTCCTCTCCTGATGGTGTCCTGTGGAGGCATCCCCTGTCCTAAAAAGTACGAGATCCCCAAATACACGGCACCTGACACTGGACAGACGAGGTGGATGGTGACCTTTGAGCCACGTGTGCTCCCAGCCAGGGAGAAGGGTGCCGCCTGCCACTCAGGGCCACGCAGGGGTGCCCTCAGGCACAGAGGGGGCCAACAGACCTGGGGAAGGCAGACGTTGTAGTTATAAGAGGGTGAGGTGCCCCTGGTTTCCAAGGGAGGATGTGGCTTGTGTGAGTAATTCTGGGCTTGCAGGGAGGGGAGACCATTAGGTGGAGGACCAGGTGGGTGCTGCTGGTCCAGCTGAGAGGGGAACTCACCCTTGAGGAACCTGGGTGGGGGCACATCTGGAGAGGACTTCTGAGCCTGGTGAGGCTCAAAGAGGTGAAGGCGGTGTGTGGGGTGCTGCCTTATGACAAATGCTGCCTTACGACACAGATTGCGCTCCACGGGGGTCCTGCGGCCGCATCATCTCCCAGCCCACCCTCGCCAAGCGGCTCGGCTATCGCTACCCAAAATGTAATAGTCTGAACTACAGAAAGCACAGTCTCCTGGCATTCGACAAGGATTTCAAAATGAGATGAGCCCCTGCCTGTCTTGTTCTCTTTGGGCACCTGTGGCTGCTGGCTGGGATGCCAGGCTCTGCCACCCTAGCATGGGGATGCTGCCCCAGGCACTGTCTGTGGTTCCACTGGTTGAAATAGCTGCTCTGCCAACCTGATGGTCCACGCTCGGGTTTCTTCTTTGGAAATATGCATACTGTCAAAAACTCCAAAAGCTATTCTCACATCCTATTTTTCTCTTTTCTCTCTCTAGGGAGAAGCCGGAGACATAGGGCCCCCCGGACTACCTGCCTACTCCCCTCACCCTTCCCTAGCAAAAGGTGTGTGAGCAATTTCACCTGCGTAGTTCAGTGTCACATACACATTCTTTCCTGTTAGGGACACAGACCCATGAACTTTCAAGACAGGTTTTCCAAGCAAAGCAAAAACGAAATTTGGAACATAACTTCATGTACAATTTCCCTCGTGCTTAAATGTATCACAGGGAGACCTTCGTGTTGCCTGTGCATGAGACAGTCCTCACCACCTACACGTGAGAAATCTCCTCCATTGGGGAGTTCTTTCATTTCTGCTTAACTTGTAGAGTTCTAGTTCTGCTGTCTGGACTATCACTGAAGAAATCCAGGGGCAGCAACCCCAGCCACCTTCGGATTTTTTCTCCTAATGTACCAAGGTTCTTAAGCCCTCTGTTTGCCAGCCTGACACCTGGAATTGATCATAACCCATAACCAGTGAACAGTCACGTGCTTTCAGGCTTCAAGGCAGCTAAATTCCCAGATATTTTCACGTAACGACCACTCCCCACTGTCACAGTTGACCTTGCAGTGTAAATGAAGGACTTCGCGCATCTCGTCACTCATGCTTATCTTGTTATTAAGGCTCAGCCTTCCAAATTGGCAAGATCATATGGAAATCTGAACCTAGTCCTCCAACTAGAGCACTTGGCTCTGAACCTTCTAGAATGCGCATCCTTCTAGGTTAAAAAAAAATGTTTCGAGAACCTCCTCCTGGTAATCGTGCATATGTATCTTTGCGGATCATTTACCCATGTGATAGGCAGCTCTGTGAGGACAGACATTTCAGCCTGTCTTGTTCACTGCTGTATTCGCAGTGCCTGGAACAGGACAGGCACAGAGTTGGAGCTCAGCAGATGCCTGACTGTGTGAGTGAACGACGTACCGAAACATACATCAGACAGGCATTGTGAAGGGTAGGGTTTTTTAAATACAGAGTTTACCCCTTGAACTCAGCAGGTCACCTGGTCTCCCTGTCCTCTAAGCCTAGGTGTCAAGAATTCACCTCCCTGCTTAGGCGCGAGCCCTCTGTCAGTTCCATGACGGCTTTGCATGTCTTCATCCCATGCTGATCAAAATACAGGACAGAACAGGGACACGGGCAGTGCCTCGAGGAGCCCCTGAGATGTCTGTCTGGGGAGGCGTGGAGCCATGAATGGGGATGTTTTGAAATCCGTGCTCAGCTTCCGTGATGCCCGTAACTGTGAAGCTGGCATTTCCTGCCTCATCCATGGCGCACGTGTGGCCGCCAAACCTGAGACCCACTAAAAAGGGCCATGAGCCCCGTTTGACTTAACTCACTATTAATGATTTTGGTAAAATGGAAATATTCTCTTTGAGATTTTAGGAACATAATTTTTAAGTTAATGCTGGTGATGTTTCTTTTGCATTTTTTTAAAATGTCGCTGACTGAGAGCCTAGCTCTCACCAGCCCCTCCCTTCTCACCGCACTGTATTCCTGGAAATCACACTGCAAAGGCAGGTGCTTTCAAAATTCGCTTTTCCCCACAAGCGGATTCAGAAATGCGGAGGTTGCCTGCCGCCTTTTCTCCTGGACAACATTCCGGTTAATGGTGAGCTGGAATGTGACTGACTCACATTCCAGGGTTTCTTGAAGTCAAAGGTTGACTAACCAGCAGATTCCCTCAGGGAAAAGAGGCAGTCAGCGTATCTTTTTCAAGGTAACATTGCATGAACTTGTCAAAAGGCAAAAAGGAGAGAGGAGTTTGTATTAAATGATTGCAAGGTAACTAGAAATAAAAGTAATCTTGCTGTTCTTCTAACCAAGGGAGGTCTGTGGCTTTCGATTTTGTCTCTTTTTATGGAATCATAACAATGGCTAACAGGTGTGTAGGTTGCACTGTGTGCCAGACGATGCTCCAAGTTGTCCTAGTTGTACTTTTCAGTGTGTTTACCCCTCCGGGTGACCCTGCGAGGTGGAGATGGACTTGGCTCCATTTGCTAAGGGAGAGATGGAAGCGCAGGGCATTTGAGTTCCTTGCCCAGGGTTGCATTTAAGTGGAGGAGCCAGTTTCAGGCCCAGGGCCTCTGGCTGCGGAGCGCAGCCCGCTGCACACTTGGCATGAAGCTGCCCGCGCAGGAGATGCCATACACGGAAGTCAGGCCTTCTGTCTCTTGCAAGTGTGTCTTCAGTGTGATGCCCAGCAAGCCCTCTCCTTATTTTAAGGAACTTCATAAGATGGCATGCAGAGTGAAAGCTTTCCTCGAGATTCCTAATGCCTACATGATAAAAAGTCCAGTTTTCTTCTCTTTCTTCTCATCTTTCCCAATTATATTCTAGAAAAAATGTGTTCTATAGTAAAGTGTTGGTATTTACACAGCAAAGGAACATAGTCATGCCACTTTGTCTTTGTTTGTTCAGGGGTGAAAGTTTGTAAAAGCCAAATTTTGTTACTCATCCAGCAGGCAAGAATGAGAATGAAAGACCAATGGGATTAAAGCTGGGGTCGAGGGGCAGAGTCGGGTTCAGGGAAGTGAGGCCTCCTCGCCCAGTAAAATTGGCAACCACATTAGTTCCTTCTTTATTCAAGCTTTGGACTCACCCGATTTTCACTAATCCTGTTCCCCTGCTGGCGAATGAGCCTCGTATAAAAAGAGACCACCCCATGCATTAGCCATCTTGACTCCTCATCAGGCCCCACACAGCACATGGAGCGTTTAGTGAATATGTAGTCAATGAAAAAGCGAACGCCAGCTGCGATCCGTAGACCACGGTCTTGTTCTTATTGTGGGACTTGTTTCACTTCCAGGTGCCAGAGGTGACCCGGGATTCCCAGGGGCCCAAGGGGCGCCAGGAAGCCAGGGTGAGCCAGGAGACCCGGGCCCCCAAGGACCCCCTGGCCTCTCCATCGGAGATGAAGGTAATGTGGCTTCATGATATCAACACCGGAGACCCAAAGCACCTGCGCTCAAGTCCTAGCACACACAAGTGAGCCTTCCTTGACAGCGTAGCTATGTTGTTGTTACTTCTCCCCACTGACTAGTCTTAGCAACTCTAAGGAGCCCCACACACGTGCTTTGGACGCCTTCACAGAACCGCTGCACACATGACAGTAGCTCCCCAACTAGGTTAGGTGGTGCCACGATGAGTAACTGGCCTGCTTCCACCAGTGGGTTGGGAAGAAAATGGAGAATTATCAGGTGCCATTGCCCAGTGTTGATCACAACTATCAAGCCATTATTTGAGGGGCAAGGAGAGGGGTGTATTTAATGTTGAAAAATGATAGTGAACTATACCAATGGCTTCTACCCGTCGGAGTTATTGACAGGGCCATGCAGCCCGCTAGTGCTGCCGGTGGGCCCCTCTGGACATGAACACAAAGGCAGCGGTGCAGTATGGGAGACTCACGCTGCAGGTGAATGCTGTTTGGTTTCAGATCAGAGGAGAGGCCTGCCGGGTGAGATGGGACCCAAGGGCTTCATCGGAGACCCCGGCATCCCTGCGCTCTTCCCGGGCCCACCTGGACCTGATGGAAAGCCAGGGCCTCCAGGCCCCCCCGGGCTCCCTGGACCACCTGGACCTGATGGTGAGTGGAGAGCAACAAAAGGGAGGGTGTACGCTAATGTTCAGGTGAAGCCTGGTCCCCGCCGGAGGTGATTTGGAATTCTCTGCTAAATCACTCTGCGAACGAATCCAGTAGGCCAGTGATTAGAGTGCGGTGGATCCAGGTAGATGAGGGTGTAGTGGGTGTTCTCTGGAGTCCACGCAGAAGCTGGGGGTGGAAACTGAAGCCCTGTAAGCCTGTAAGTATCACAACCCCATGGATGCCACACAGTGAGGTTTAGTTGCTGCAGCTTCGGTGAAATCCGTCCTTCAGCGAAACATCTGAGCTGTGCAGTCTGGAAACAGATGTGAGCCAACATCGCTGCCTCTGTATCGGGGTGATACATTCCACAAACCTAATCCAGGGTGGGGGCCTCACCCTTGACTGGCAGCCTCTCTCCTCTGTTACCCCAGCACATTAAAGCCAACTTGATAATCTGCCTTCTCAGCCCGTGTACAGTCAAAGCTACAACTGAACAAAGCTACAACTGAACAGGTGGGAGTAGCTGGTGACAAAAAGAGATGGCTGCATTATCTGCAAAAATAAGTGACAGCTATTGGCCAAGGCCCAGACAAATGCCCATGAAAGTCAATAAAGCCAGCAGGCACAGGAGTGTGGACCCACCTGCCACCCGGTAGTGCATCCCTGAATTAGCAAAGATGCTCTTCCAGGTTATAACGTTAGGCGACTCAGCTTGAGTTGAGAATGATCTGTCTCAGGCGGCAGGGAAACATGCAGTCCCGCTTGGGGCTTGCTATCAGAAAAGACTGTTCTTTCAGCTTCAGCATTCAGAGAATTATGCTTTAAAGACCAAGCTTGTCCAACCCACGGGCCACATGCAGCCCAGGACGGCTTCAAGTACAGCCTAACACAAATTCATACACTTTTTAAAAACATTTTTGCAATTTTTTTTAGCTAATCAGCTGTATTAGTTCATTCTCACGCTGCTATAAGAACATACCCAAGACTGGGTAACTTATGAAGGAAAGAGGTTTAATTGACTCACAGTCCGCAGGGTTTGGGAGGTCTCAGGAAATCTACAATCATGGCAGAAGGGGAAGCGAACATGTCCTTCTTCACATGGCATCAGGAAGGAGAAGTGAAGAGTGAAGAGGGAAAAATCCCCTTATAAAACTGTCAGATGTCATGAGAACTCAGTCACTATCATGAGAACAGCGTGGTGGAAACCGCCTCCATGATTCAGTTACCTCCTGTGAACCAGGTCCCCACCGTGACATCTGCAGATTATGGGAACTACAATTCGAGATGAGATTTCAGTGGGGACACAAAACCTAACCATATCACCAGCTAACGTTAGTGTTAGTGTATTTTATGCGTGGCCTAAGACAATTCTTCTTCCAATGTGGCCCAGGGAAGCCAAACGATTGGACACTCCTGCTTTCGATATTGTGAAATGCCTAATGGGAACATTTCATTCTTTCATAAGAGCAAATATAGGCGACATTGGGAGAAAATAAGAGGTCATAGTCTCTTTCTATGTGACGTTGACCAAAAATTAACTGCCTCTTCTTTCCAAAATAGTTTACTTTAAATTCCCTGACATTGCCCTTAATAATCTCTCATAGCCTCTTACCTTCAAGGAGGAAAAACATGTTTGCTAATGGACAGTGTTTGGTTTCAGTTACAGGTCAAATTCAATGCCTCTGTTTTAATTGTTTTTGGAAGATGACTTCTCTGACATATCTAGAAGGAAAATCACTGGAGTTATTAGAGGCAATATCTTCTATTTTAAAAGTAGTAGTTGGCTGGGCGCGGTGGCTCACGCCTGTAATCCCAGCACTTTAGGAGGCCGACGTGGGCGGATCACGAGGTCAGGAGATCGAGACCATCCTGGCTAACACGGTGAAACCCCGTCTCTACTAAAAATACAAAAAACTAGCCGGGCGAGGTG